TCCGGCGGCTGGTACCGTCTCCCTGCCCGCGGTGGTCGGTCTCCTGGGCGGGCGAGACACGTTGTTTAGACTGGAGGGAAAAAAAAATTATGTTATCATTCACCATTATTTTATTTCGATTTTGCTTTGTTCCAAAAATAGTCGAGGGACATAGTAACTAGCGGGAACTAGCGGGAGGCACGTCACTGGTTTCTGCCGTCTGAGGCTGCAGCTGAGGTCGGCTGCCCACTGTGCCAGGCACTGCACAAATGGGGTTGGAGAGAGCCCCTGGTCTAGGCGACTCTTGGCTCCAGAGCGAATTTAAAGCATTAAAAAACACAGGATTGGCTCTTTGGGAATACAGCAAGTGTCTGATCGGTTCCAAGTCCTGCTCTGGACTGCAGTCACGACCAGATGCTGCACTGAATGGTCCCCTCCAGGCATCACAAACCATATGGCTTGGGCACAACAATATCCAAAGGGTGGGAGTGGGGGGTCCTTGCTCCTGCACACACCAGAAGCACAGGACTGAAAGCTCTTGTGATGTTAATCACTGTCGTAGGGGCTTCTTGAAGATGCCCAGGTATCTACACGCTGGTGTAGATCCTGGGTGGTGCTCCGGGCTTCAGCAGTCATTCTCCGAAATCTCTGCAGGTAGATAATGATGAAGATGACCAAGATAGCCTGGAGTAAAAGGAGGATGAACAGACAGAGCTGAGAGAGGAGAGCCAGGCTGCAGTACCAGTACTGGCATGTGGAGATGATCTCATCTTCTGTCAGATAGGCGATGATCCGGTCCTGCAGGTGAGCTGGGGAGGTACATTTCACATCCCTGTAAAAGGTCCGGTTCTGCTGCCACTGAAGCCAGGAGCGCAAGTAGAGGATGTCACAGTTGCATTCCCAAGGGTTTCCTTGCAGGTGGACTTCCTGGAGACTCTTCAGGTTGTCAAAGAGCCCTTTGGGAATAGAGGTGAGCCTGTTGTAACCAAGACGGATAACTTCAACCGATGGGCGGAAGGCAGCTGGCAGCTTTGTTATGGTTAGGTCCTTCGATGCGCAGTCGATAATGTTCGTGGCACACTTGCATGGCACAGGGCATGTTGGTATCACATGCGGGAGAAAGCCAAAGAGGGACAATAAGAGAATCCCACTGTACATCTTCACCCGTGGACACTCACACAGTGGGACTGGGTGAGATAGAGACCCAGGAAGAAGACACCACCTGCTCTCAGGATTAGCCAGCAAAGCCCTAGGCTTTTGTGGGTTTGTTCTGAGGATGTACTTTTAAAGTTGGGTGAACTTGGTGTCCTCGGCAGGAGAGGTGAGAGCTCTGAAAAGAACAGAGTTAAAAGAGATTTTTTGCAAACTCTTGGTCTCTTGTTACAGGAGAGGGAATGTTCCTGTTCTTCTAGCCATGGTTTTGGTGGGGGCATATGGAACAGACAGCTGCTGGGAAGCTTGGCTGCCCCCATCAAATTAATTTTCACTAGTCCTCCAAAGTGTACAAGAGCTGCAAGTGTTTTCGGGATTGCATTACTGACTAGGGTGACCAAGAAAATTCATGTCAGAGAGCCAAAAATTAGTGTACGAAACTGCTTCTGCCTTATCGTAGCACTACACTACTCAGTAAGCAAAGCTTTGTTCACAGAAACTGCAAGAGGAGGTTCAAACATGAATTTACTGTTACCACAAGTGGAAAATAGTCTCTGCAGTTTTGAATAGAAGTGACAAACAGTCCTTGGCTAGCAGAGATGGTGATGAGCACCGAAGGCGGAAGAGGGTAGTCAGTGGAGTTTTCCACTCAAGACATCGCTCCAGCAGGTGAATAATCTCTTTCTGGAGCTGCGACCATGCCAGGAGACATGGGTCAATGGGCTGTCTTTGTAGTGCAGTCTCATATGCCATTGCTGAACAAAAGAGCTGCTATAACTTCTTTAGGAGCATACAACTATGCGTACCTGGTACAAGACAGTGGTTTTCTATGCAATCCATCAACCAAATGGGGAAAAAAAGAAAGAACAGAAAGTATTTCTGCTGACTTACCAGGGTAGATGAATCCTTGTTTTCTTGTTGGCTTCACAATGCAAGAGGAAGGTCCTAAGGCAGTCCAGCCAGTGTAGGAGTGTGTGCAGCTGCATAGCTGAGCTCCCAGATCCCCCAATCCCCTTGCAGCTGGCTTGGCAAGATAAGGGTCAGGCTCATCCTGGGGACACCTCCCACATGAGGCCTTCCTGCAAGCTTGCTGCACGTCACCAGAAGTGGAGGCTTCATCAACTAACTCTTCCACAAAATGGGAGCTTGCAAGAATACGCTTGCTGGAAGAGATGCTAACGGTATCGATGACTGCGATTCTTGCTCCACGTGCTCTGGGTAACAAGTGGACCAGCACTGCAGTGAATTCAAGGATGCTGTTGCTGATGGCAGCAACATATACAGCCTGACTGTTTCCATATCATTCTTCTATAGACAAAATATACATGTATGCAGGGTAAAGAGACTGTGTCTTTCACCAGGGTAAGTGAAGGAGAGGGGCTTCCTTCACAGTATTTTCTCAGGTTTGAGCCTTTGGTTCTTGGTAGTATAAAAGTAATAAAGTACAGCTGTTAGCCTGTGCCTGATTAACAGCTGACTAACACACGTATATAGACCCTCTGAGTAATCTTCTTCTTACTCCAGGTACCCTGCTTTATCCTCCAGCCCTTTGGAACAAGACAGTTAAATTTCTTACGCTGAGCCCCTAAGGGCTCACAATAAGCACCTGGTATGCGCTAAATCAGCCTAAGCCACGTAGGGCAACAACAAAGCACGCAAAGAATCTGCTCAGAAATCACAGTCCAGGCTGCTCCCAATTCTTTCTGTTTGACCTCTCTCTTGCCTTTCCTGTGCAGTTTGGTCAGTGGGGTGCATTTCCCTTCCCTTCATACTGGAGAAAATCTGGGCATTGCAACAAGGGAGCTGCAGGCTGGCTCCAGCAGCATTCCTGTAGAGAGCCATGGAGTTTAGGACCCCTGTATAGCTCAATGCCAGCTGCAATGTGATTAACAGCTCTGGGTAGCGCCTCATAATAATTTCCATAAGCCTAAATATGTCCCTTTTATACAAATTTTGCAAAGATTCTAAAATAGTTTCTATATGCAGTAAGTCCAAGAAACACACCTTACCTGCAGCCTTTTATCCCTGAATAGCACTGGGACAAGAAGTGAAGGAGACAGGGAGGGAAGATTCAGTTTGCAAAAGTATCTCATTTTTTCTTTTCCAGAATCACTTCCTCTGCATGACAGCCCTAATCTCTGCCATTTTTTCTGGCTTTCTCTTTTAAAGATAAAGATTCACTGTGTGCGAGCAGCACCAGGGAACGCATCTGGTACACAGAACCAAGCAGGCTGGACCAGGAGATAAAGGAGGACACCACTTCCAATAAGAACATCGCTGAGTGTCAACTGCAAAGTAATAACTTAAAATGTGCTTTAATCTGGTAGTGGTTTGTAATACACTTACTGAGCACCGTGGCCTTTAGTTTCCCATCTCATCAAGACTATTTTTGACAGCATGGTGAGCCTAACAGCCCGCTGTATGCTGACCCTGGGGTTTCCCTTAAAGCGGTGACATGAACCTACTACACCTAAATAGCAGTGGAAGATCTGCAGACTCCGCTGGTGTCAGTAATTAAGCCCAGGAGAAAGCTGCTCTCATGGTTGTTACAGGGACAAAATATAACTTGTGGCATTCCACAGGTTACACCAAAATAAACTAGGCTGAATCCACAGGAAGGACAACAGACTGATTCAGCCGGATGGTGCTGGGAAAGATAGTGCTCCTAGGGACAGCTCTTTTAATAGCCAAGTGAGTTAGCAGCTCTGTATGAGTGCAGCTTGCAGCTACCAAGAAAAATTGGCCACATCCTTTATTCAGAAGCTGCAACGCACAAGTACTTGAGCAGTAAAGTCCAAGGTTAAAAACATACTCAAGTTGCATAGATAGAATCTCATCTTCTCAAGGCCATCACATCTTCATACACATTTTTTCTGCCTTGGGCCTCGCTCTAGGCACCAGCTATGCTCCTTCTTAGGAAGAGGCCTTTAGAATTACCGTGAAATGGTTGCCCTACTAGGCCCAACTCTCCATTACCTTGCACTGTGTGTATTCACATTCAGCATAACATAGGGGACCCTGGTCAGAACTGAAATGATGAATGCCCGGAATGTTTTGATGTTAAGAGAATTTAGGGCTGTAACCAACAGCAGAATTTGGTCCTAACCAAGGAGAAAATCTCTTTCTGATGCTCAAAATAAAATAAGCACGTCTTAGTTTTCTAGTAGGTTGGAGCAGATCATTCCAGTTGTTTTTTTATGGCAGGCAGACTGGGTAGGAAATGGATCTTGGGCCAACAAACTAATCCAGCTTTTCCCGCAGTTCCTGCTTTCCATTTAGGAGTATCTTGACTACAAAAGGGACAAGGTTGCTCACCAATGGCCATGTCTCCTGCATCTGGGTGCCACTTTTATTCACAGCCCAGTGTTCAGGCCAGGTGCGGCATGGACTAAATCTACTAAACCCTGTCAGACCCATCCTGGCTCTGCATCCTTCCTCATACAGCACAGATACAGCAATACTGCTTTGGTTACTTACAGAGTGGATTTCTTGGGACTGGATCCTGCCCATTGCTGATTAGTTACCTCTCCTAGGTCAAGCTTAAAGATGGAAGAATTTTAGGATCATCTTGTCTAGCCTTTGACATAAACACAGGCCAGAAATCCCATGCACTGGTTAAAAGGATAAAGAGAGCCAGTTTTCTTCTCTCCTGCCCGATAACGTATCACCAATGGCACTCAATGGGACTGAAAAGTCAAGCAGAAAGAGGCTGGTTGTTTTGAATGTATTTATTTCACTGATCAATTCAGGTAGTAAACATTATTAATAATAATAACAATAATCATTTAATAAAATGGATATGTTTTAAAAGGTTTCATTTTTCTTTGTTCACAATGACAAAATGTTCAAACAGAAATTTACAAAAAAATATATATATTATAACAACCCAACAGATGGACAGGAAACAGAGCCTAGGAATGAAGCAGAGGGATGAGGAAGTCAATGAGGAAGTCATATGGCAGGAGCAAGCCAGCATTACAGCAGAGCTGGGTTTGTGAGGAGGGAGCAGGGAACGCCATCGCACAGCACGAAGAATGGGACCCCCTCCTCTGGGGGGAGGCATGCGGGGAGGCAGCAAGAAGAACTGCACGGGCAGGACTGGCACAGGAGTGGCACTCAACGAGTTCATGCCATAGCTCCCTCCCCAGTCAGGCACAAGGTCCGAGATGTTGTACCGACAGCCCCCAGCTATAGCCTCGAGAGCTCTGCCCCGAGGAGTGGGACGCAGCCCCTGCAGTGACTCGCTGAGCCGGGCAAAGCTTGGCAGAGGCGTGGGAATGTGCCTGTGGGTGCAGGGTTTGCATATGAGATTGTGGAGGGTTGCGTGAGGGGAGGTGTTAAACTACCTTCCTATCCACACTCTTCTGCTTCTCTGGCTGCCAGAGCCATGTGGCCAAGCTACACTCGTTCAGGAGTCCCTTCTCTGCTTATAGCGTAGCTCAGTTCAACAGTTCAAAGCATTCCTCCTTTAATAAATGGATGTCACCTTCCAAGCCAAAGGCTGGATCTCCAGTGCCCCTGCAGAAGTCAGCCTCTGACCCCTTCCCGGCAGCCCCCCAGCTCTGATGCTCTGGGAAAGGAACCTCCTATGCAGGGACAGCAGTGCCACTCCCCTTGACAGAAGCTGTCTCTCTAATGCCTCGCTGGTATGCATTTTTATCCAAGTGCAACTCAAAACTGTCTTTGCCAGCTGATAGTTGAAGACTTCTGCTCTCTGCAGAGAATGCAGCTGCAACTACTGACTCGATTTAGGAGCCATATGCACTGAACTGATGGAGACTTCCTCACCCAGGGGAAGAGAAGCAGCTAAATACTCAGCAGTCTTGCCTGACCCCAGCTCCTTGCATTCTCCCCAGCACCCTAATACAGTACTTCAGCACACAGCCCAGGATAAAGGCTGTATTCTCTCCTATGTAAATGCTAAAGAATAAAGGTTTCCATCTTTAGACCTGAATCTATGCAAAAGAGGAACATCTCTACCTGGACAGGGCTCATTTGCAACAGAACCTCCTCCTCACAGACAAGACTAACGTAAGAAAAGAGAGGGGACAGATACCACAAGGTGTTTCCAGTTACGCTAGCATGAATAAAACTGAGAACTTAGCGGTCCTCCTGCCCTGGGACAGCAGCAAACCTCCTCCAGAAAGCCTGGAGGAAGCTCTCACCTCTGGCTACTCTGTTCCTCAAGTATGTAGACTGCAGAAAGAAAGGTTGCATTTCCTCCTGAAGCATCTGGCCTTACTGAAGACAGGCTGAACCCTTCCACTCCCCTGGGCTGGCTCCGCCACTGTCACTTATATGCCTGATACAGGGGAGAAGGAAAGAAAAAATATTGGCTAGGCAGGAGAGTTCCCTCCTGTCCCGCTGAGCTTGTTCCCAAAGCCCCTGCCCCACTTCTCACCTCTCTGAGGGTCGCTTAGAAGAGGCTTGCCTTGGACACTGCTCTTGTCTAGCTTTCACATTTCTGCAGAGGGGCTTCCACCCTCACTTTGTCCTTCAGTGTTGCATCAGGGTCTCTCTGCTGCCCCTACAACCCACGTTCTGGCCTGGCAAAGGCTCTGTACAGTGAATAACTGGAACCAGCCAACCTACTCACCTCCTGAACAAGCTCTGATCAGGACATTTAAAGCCTCATGGAGAGAAATCAGTGTGGTACCCAACCCAGACAAATGCAGCATCTAACAAAAGAACTGAGCACCTGGCTATTCCCAGCCAGAGAGATCTACTGTGGAGAGCCAGAGATGGAGGAGCTGAAACAACGGGCAGATGTGCGGACAGAGGAATGGGGCCAGGAGCCAGAGGAGCAGAAAGTCCTCGTCCAGGGTGGTGCTCTCTGGAGTTGGAGGGAAGGGCCAAGCATCTCTCCCTCCAACAGCCCTGGACTCCCTGTGAGCATGGCAGTGTTTCTAGCGAGTCTTGCGCTGTCAGACACATTACACTCCTGGGCTATCCTCTGGCTGGACTAGAAGTTAAAAATACTGCAGGAAGCAAGAGTGGGAGAGAAGCTGCTGCCCAAAGAATGCTCTTATCTCTGCCCAGCAGATCCACCAGCCTTCCCAGCACTGAGACAGGAAGAGCTGGGGACCAGCGAAGGGGGAGAAGGGCTCAGTCCCAGGGGAAAGGGCAGGGGAGGAAGTGCCAAGTCTGCTGGGCTGTGCTCAGCCCTGCACAGAGACATTCCTGCACCTGCCATGGTGACCCACAACAGCTCCCCACAGCCCATCTGCCACCTCTTGCCCCCCAAGACAGCCTGCCGGGACAGGCGGCTCTCAGATCTCTGGCACAAATGCCCAAAACTGCCCCTTGCCCCAGGAAAACTGCAGAGCCAGCAATACAGTTTTGGAATTACAAGCCTGGGGACAGAGTACAGCTCTGAATTTGGGGTTGGCTTTCAGCTCTAGCGTTTCTGTTCTTCCAGAGCAGGAACAGCTAAACACTCTGGCTGCCATGGTACTTTTCCAGGCAAACAGTGGAGAAAAGTGCAGCTGGAAGACCAGAGCCATGAGATACCCTCAAGAGCCACTGCAGGGCCCTGGGCTTCCTGCAACAGTGCTTCTGCCAACCCCTCCGACCTGCTGTGGGAAGACCATGGCTGGTAGTCTGGGAAGGGGCTGACTCCCATCATCAGACATCTTCCTTGCAGGCAATCCCTCAGCAACTCATCCTCTCTGCCAGAAAGACCTCGCTGAGGGCAGTGGAAGTGCTTTCTTCTAACTGACCTTAAGATACTCTTGTCCCCTGCCACTCAGTGCAAAGATCCTGGAGTTTGTTGATAGGAAAAACAAAACCAACCAACTAACCAACCAAAAAAAAAAAAAAAAAGCCAGGCAGGGAACCAGGCACCTATCAGGACCCCTCAGCAGGTCAATGCACAGAGACACCCCCAGCCCCTGCTCTCTGGGCCAGAGCTGGCCCCAGGCTGAGAAGGCTGGGCAGCGCAGGTCCAACTCACAGGAGGGAAGAGCTGCCTTTAGGATGCCTGTGCTGGCCCAGGGTGAGGGGAGGGAGAGGGGGGCAGAGCACCTCAGTTGGGAGTAAACATTTACGTGCATGGACACAGATAACCTTCAAGTTCGTACACCAGAGAAACCAGGACTTTAAATACCAGAGCATTCCCAAACAAGAAATTAGTACATGGGAAAGGGAAATCTTTTTCTTTTCTTTCTTTTCTTTTTTAGGATGCCTTAGATACTTCCCAGGCTATTTTCTTTTAAAAAAAAGAAAAAAGAAAAAAAGAGAAAAAGAAAAGAAAGGAAAGAGTAATAATTAAAAAAAAAGAAATACACATCAGTAAACTGTTAAGTGAACAGCCTCCTCCACAATCTGGCTGACTGCAAAGCCAGCATTGCTGCTAATAAATTAGAGGGTGCGAGTGTAGCTCTTGCCCACAAGTCTCTACACAACAGGGAACTTCTTTTTAAAGGTCCACAGCTCAAGCCAGGCTTCAGACGGTCACCAGGAGATTCCCTTTGCCCGCTGAACACCTGCCTTTCACTGATCCTGCATCTGCTGCTGCATCTTCTGCAGCATTTCTTGCATCCGCCGCAACTGCATGAGACAGAGAAGAGATAGTCAAAGGAGGGATCTGCTGGGGCAAGCTGCCAGAGATCTCCAGAAGGGGCAGGGATCTTGTGGAAAGGGTTTCTGGCTCCCCTCCTGCCCACGGAAGTGTCCATCCTTCCCCTACCACTGCTCCAAGTGATCCAGAGCAGGCAGGTGAGAAGCTGCTGTTAGGTCTGGCAGGACAGTGGGCAGAAAGCAGCGAGTCCTCGCTCGGCTGGGTAAAGCCGCAGGAGCCAACTGCCAGGCTATCCCTCACTACGCTGACAGCTGGGCACTTCCAACCACAGTGGCTGGCCAGGACAGAAGATGCTGGCCCTAGACAGAGATGCTTGCCCTGGACAGTACTGATTTGATACTTTAAGGGGTGCTGGAGTGACTGCGCAGTCCTTTAGGGGAGACAAAGGGATCTCTCAGAGAAGCTACAGTGCCCAGGGTGGAACATCATCTAAGTCCCCCTGGCAGAGGACACAGTGTTCACATCCCATCCTCTATACCAGCAGCCCGTGACGATGGGAGGCAGGGCTAGAAAGCTCCAGGATAGCCTCCGTGGGGTGATCCTGGCGTAATTCCTCAGATTCCAGCTCTAACACCAAGGAGGTCCAGGCAGAAATGGGTCTCACCTCCTCATCCTTCATTTTGATCAGCTTCTCTGTCTCAGTGTCAGGTGTTGGGAGAGGCAGGATAGGAATCGGGCTTTCTATCCTGTTGTCCTGAGTAAGCTTGCTAGAGAGATGGAGAGAGGAGAGAAACGCAGTCAGCTGTGGTTCAGGCTGGCTAACTGTGGAGTTGACATCGAGGCAGCCAGTCGCAGACCTGCCAGCAATGTGGCAACACATAGTGGCCAGGCAGAGGGGCACTGGGGCAATCTAGCACAGCGGTGCGGGATGCACTTGGATGCAGACCAAGACCACAATTGATAAAAGTTTTCAAAACAGAAGACTGTGGGCAGCCAGCATCGATAAAACCCTAAAGCAGGCTTACAGACCACTGAGAGCAAACACAGACAGAAAAGGGCTGGTATTTCTGACCACCTCATGTGAAAATACTGGCAAGCTTACTAGAGACAACTAAAGCTGATTGCTCTGGTCTCCTTTTGCCCACCTTTGTGAATGCACGTGCCTTCTAGTGTGCATCGCTACACAAATACACAGCATCATCACAAACTATCAGCATCTCTAAGGCACCACATGCTCACCATGGCCCTTTTTTCAGAAAGATAAAACCAGGGAAGCAGTTTAACCACTGCAAGTCTGATAGCAAAGCCTGGTCCCTACATTCAAGAGGCAGGAGATATGAGACGACAGGCATGGCATAGCACAACGTTTCCCCAAGGGCTGGGGTGGGCAGGAGACAGAGGAAGGAGATTACTTCTTCCTCAAAGGTGCACAAGCTCTCTGCAGGCCAGCTGGGCAGAGAGGCGTGAGCTGGATTTGGGAATTTAAGGTGCCACTTGCAGGCTTTCACCACTTGGAGTCACCATTGGCTCATTCCTGAGGCAATTCCAGCCCTGGAGCTTGGGATCTCCTCCCAACATAGTCCCTCTAGAGATGGACTTTTATCCCAGTGCTAGAAATGGCTACACTCCGGTTCTCTGAAACTTCACTGGCGGGGAACTAGCCACAGCATGAGAAATGGTAGCAAACTTCTAAGCATTTCTTTAGCTGAGCAATTGCTTCTCTGTTGTTCTCTTCTTTTAATAGACACGTATCCTATCTAAATAGTGACTCATAGATCTCTAGCATTTCACATAGCTATCCTGGGACTCAGCATTCTCACTGCTGAAAAAGACAGGCTCGTCTGTTTTGCAGAAGTATTGAGATATGCTGTGGGCAAACTAAGCGTGCCAGCCTGCACATTTACACACACTCAACTCTTCCTCAGTGAAGTGCTGCCTTTTCTGCTCTGCAACGTGGCAGCACAGTTACCCAGCCAGTTCAGGCAGGAAGTGAAGGGGACGGTTTACAACAGAGGAGCCAAGATCTACTTATTTAAGTCTGTCACTAATGTTTCCATTGCAGAAGGGAGAAGGAAAAAAGGAGGCGGCTTTCAAGGAAAAGCCTGCAAATGTTCTCTCCTATTTTCTGATCATAATCACAGAGAATCAAGCACAACAGAAAGACAAACCAGAGAAATCTTTGGAGGTGTGTTAAATCTCAGTAACTGTTAATTGCTTGGGCTCTGTTGTCTGAGCAACCGCAGCATCCCAAGGGCGATGCTGTCATTTAGGTAGAGCTGTAGCTGGTGAGGGGACATGGCAGAACACCTTCCTCTTTTGGCAATGCACACAGCTATCACCCACCAGAGAGATGGTTTATTTCCTGTTTCATTAAATTAGTTTCCTAGCACCCAGTGCTAGGAAAAACCCCTCAGATAGACCTTTTATCTCCAGGCCTACTTCCTATTTCCTGTGTGTGGGATCCTCAGAAAGGAAAACAGATTCTCAGAAGCACCCCTGCAGTGGGCTCAGGCTGCACAGACGAGCTTAGAGTTGCTATTTTATTTGCCAGTGCCGTTCCCCAGGGTGCAGCCCAGCAGGTCCCCAGCAGACCCGCAGCCTCCTAACTGATGAGCTGTTCTGAGAGCAGCGCCATCTCCACCGAGAGCGAGACACCCCTGCCATCCCTGGGCAAAGCAGCGGGGACCTACCTAGTCATCTGCTGGATGCACTGAGCTCGGTAGTTCTCATAGTGGACATCGCAAGTGACGTCCTTCAGGTCATGCATGTGTGTTCGAATCAGCATGTTCCGCAGCTTCACAAAGTCGCAGTGTGCCTGGTTTTCCACTGCAGAAGCAACAACAGGAGAGCACTTGGATTTCCTACCTCACCAGCCCTGTCCAGGGAGCCCAGAGCCCCTGATCACCTCCCAGCACTCAGCCCTGGGCTGAAACTCCTTCCAGGGCCCCTTCCCCACCCTCCACCCACACACTCCTTCCCAGTGCCCAGGGCTCTCCCTCCTGGCCCCAGCACAGGCCTTGCTGATGCTCCACAAGAGGCTGCACTTCTCAACCTTGAGGCAGGCTGCTGAGGTCACTGTGTTCCCAGGACTTTTTCTGGGTAAGAGGATTAATTAAGCACATATAGAAGAGCCCTGAGTGAGGACGCTGCTCCCAGGTACGCAGGACGTAACTGTTATAACCACAGTGACTGCAGCAAGCACTGGAGACAAACTGCTCATCTCCTCAGAATTTAGGACAGATCAAAAGGTCCCTGGGGGGAAGATCGTTTTTCCCGTGGACTTGCAACAGCCCCACAGGAGCAAAGCCACAAGCAGGCAACGGTCTGGAGAGCTGGAACAGCCACCGTTACCCCCGGGAGCCAGGCCCTAGACAGCGCGGTGGGACTTTCCAGGGAAGTGTTGTGCTCAGTAGCTACGTGCTCGCCATGGTGATGGGGAGCTCTCTACCGAGACGGTCAGCCCCGCAGGAGGCCTGGGCGCCAATCCTGCCTGCCTCCTTCCTTCAGCACTCCATTTACCTCTGCAGGGCTGGGGAAAGCAGTTTGTGTCAGGCTCACAGCCTCTCAAAGCTGAGCTCGCTGCCAACACCAGCGCCCCGACAGGCGCTGCCCTCTCCAGGGCCAGCCAGGGAGCAGAGCCAGCAGCTGGGCAGCCCAAGCAGCCAGCACCAGCCCACGAGTGCACATACAGGCTTTTGTGACCTTAAAGCAATGCACGAGCAGGCCAACACAGGTGGGAGTCAGCAACAGCAGCAAAAGCCATTTCAGGGTCATTCTGCCCATGGGCTTTAAGAAATTTCTCCCTTTAGACAGGCAAAAAGCTAGAGACAAACACACCGTGCATGAGCACAGCCTCCAGCCCTGCCCCTAGGACTCACTGCTGCTTGGAGGGACCTTCATAGCCTCAGCGCTGGTAGCAGCTCCAGCCCCACGGCGGTAGCACCAGAGTCAGGCTGTAGCAAACACAGCTTAACGCAGAGCTCAAAGCTGATGTCCTAAAACCACAAGCTCAAACCCCTCTATCACCCTCCTCCCTGAACGTACGTTGCAACCACACACCATCTTCTGAGCCACTGCCGCACTTCCTGGCTGGGCAGTGGGGACAGGACCTGCCAGGACAAAGTGTGATCTCTGCGCCAACCTCCCAGCATCCATCCTCTTCCCCGAACTGTGCTCTGTGTGGCCAAGCCCAGCACACACGACAGCAGCGGCAGAGAAGGGAATGTGGGAGGGTTTACGGCTGAGGGCAACGGCTTCTGCCCAGAAACTAAACTGGCAATGCCCAGCCGCTCCCCTTAACCAGAGGCCACGTCCTAACGCATCAAAGCCCAGGGCTTCCTCCGTTCACCCTGGAGCCACTCTTCTTCACTCTGTCATGGCCTCAGAGGCAGGGCAATTGCTACCTGCTGTTGCCAGAAGACAGTAACTGGCCTCCCAAGCAGGTATCCATCTACACCCTGCCACACGCTTAGGAGCTGCAGAGCACAGGGCTTTGCTGGGCCAGGTGGCAGAGATGGCCCAGCCTGGAGCAGGGCTGCACAGCCATGGCTGTGCAGCGCTGAGTTCTTCCCTGCAGCCCCCGTTGTATATGTCCGCCTCCCGCTCGCAGTCTGCTCCCAGGTACCGTGCTTACCTTCCACAATGCCCCAGGGGTACAGCCGTCCACGGACTCTCTGGCCTTTCGCCTCCACCACCGTGTTACTGCCGATGACGGCAAAGGGAGCGCTCTCCTGGAACAAGAGGCATCGCTGAGCCCAGCTCAGCCTGGTGCTGCCTGTGGGATCCCCCCTCCGCAGGCTGAGCTCAGGCAGAGCAGAACGGGAGGAAGAAGGCACTGGTGGGAAAGGCACAGGGCCACCCAAGCGTGCCCCAGCCCAGGACACCACAACATTGACACAGAGATAAGCCTACAGGCACTGGGATCTGCAGGCAGCCTGATTCTCAGCCTGACCTCCTCAGCTGTCCTGAGGGAAGCTATCTCTCTGCAGGTCTCTCTATCTCTCTTTTTTTTGAGAGGAAACTCTACAGAGAAGGCAGTGCAGAGGCTGGAGACCAAACAAGTGGGACAATACAGAGCTTGTCCAGTCAGGCAGGCGCAGGCCACGCACCTCTGCTCAGAAGAGAGTCAAAGCCCATCTCCAGCAGGAGAGACAAGGTCATACTGCATGCTGCTTGCAAGCAAGGCTGGCTCTGCTTGCAAAGGGTCTGGCCTGAGCTGCTGGTACCTCCAGCCAAGGAAACACTGACACTGCCTGATGGGACACCAAAAGTCCCATGTCTTTATATGACACCTGATTGTACATCACCAGCATGGACATCAGCCCCCTTCTCCTAGGCTGTCTACCACAAGAGCCAATGTAGACTGTTCCCCGGGTATCAGCCCCACAGGCCTTTGGCAAACATAGGGCACACACAGGGCAGCTCTCGCTCCAGCCAGGCCAGATGACGTACCCACAAGCCACACCTCCAGTAGGCTGCTGAGCTGATTCCTTACCTTCAGCTCTCTGTCTTGCTGTTTGAATTCCTCATCTTCATCAGAGTCACACTCCGGAAACTGGTACACTTTAATGCCAAATTTGTCAATCTCTTCCCGGATCTGTGTCCATGCAAGGCAACAACAACAAGATGCAGCACTGAACAACATAGAAATGCTGAGTTCATTCCCTGTTTGTGCTACCATGGGTTTGCCATAACCTACAGATGGGGAAGTGATTTGATGCTACCTACAGAGCTGGCCTCTCTCCAAACATCGCTTCCTTTTTCACAGGTATCTCAGAGCACCATTAAAATGAGATTTGCAGGTACTACACTGCTTCCCTCCCTGCTCTGCATGTCTCTGCTGCATCACGGCAATCCCACATAGAGAAAGAGCATCTCACCCTTTCTTTTAGTTTCCGGATCTCAGAGGGAATCAGGCAGTCAGCTTTGGCAATCAGGGGCACAATGTTGACCTTCTCATGCAGAGCCTTCATGAACTCGACATCCACAGGCCTCAGACTGCAGCAGGGATGAGGAGGGACAGGGGTTAGCAGGGACACATTGGGCAGCTCTCCCTCCAGCCTTCCCTACTTCACCCGCGGGCCCAGCGAGAACGCAGGCTGCAGACAACGCCATCACAAGAGCCTGGGAGAGCCCCCAGCTAGGGCCGTATCTTCAAGAAAGCTGTCTCAGATTTTAGCTGCTGAAATGCCTCACACAGACACCAGCTGGGTACACACTCCCCTGCAAGCCAAATATTGCAGCTGCAGCCGGGGGCTCCGTTCAGCCGTCCTGTGCTGCAGGCAGCCAGCGCGGCCAGCTCCCCTGGCACCCTGAGGCCAGGCCCCTGGGGCTGCTCCAGGCTACACTGGGACACAAACCAGCAAGGCCTGGCAGAGACTGAAGGCAGCTTAAAACTCCCTTCCCTACCCACAAGTCAGGCTTAAGTAGATAGGGGGATATAAGTCTGTGTGGCTTTTTTTCCTCTTGATTTCCAAAACAGGCTGCAGACCTGAGGGAGATCAGTTCTCCCTGATCACAAGGGCAGCATCTGTCATGTCTGCGAGGGGGAGGGAAGTTGTGTGATGCTCAGCTGATGACAGCAGCCAGCCGGCCCTTCACCTGTGCCAATATACAAGCCACTACAGGGCAATCTTGAGGCATGAGCCCTTCCCCCAGGACAGAGTCATGCCCCAGCCCTGGAGTAGGGGCTCTCACCCGTGCCCGAAGGGTGAGATGAAGTAGAGGCAGCAATGCACTCGGTTGTCCTGGATGTTCTTCCGGTTCAGGCCGCTCTCATCACGGAAATACTGTTCAAACTGTTGGTCGATGTAGTCAGTGATGGGCTTCCAGCTGGAGAGGGTAATTCAGATCAAAACCAGAGCATATGTTTAAAAGAACTCTGTCTCCAAGGAACTATGAGACAGCAGTATCCCCTTCCCACTGCCAGACTCCCTCCCGGTGAAGCACCCACAGAAAACAGACACGGCCAAGGACAAAGACGAAGACAGTGGCCTGCTCACCACTCGGTGTTGTTAACAGCATCTCCAAAGCCTGGTGTGTCCACTATAGTCAGCTTCAGCTTAACCCCCTTCTCCTCAATGTCCACTGTGTGCTTGACAATCTCCACCGTCTGGTTGATTCTCTCTTTGAACGGGAATACATGAATTAAAGCCAGGCATTAATGTCGGGAATCCCAGCCTGAACCCATGACAAGGCTGGCTCCCTCATTATCACTGAGTGCAGGAGAGTAACATGAGTTTCAAAAAACTCTGACCCATCCTCTAAGGAGCCTCAAGCAGCTGTAAGGGAGGCCAGCAGCAAGTAGACAGACCTCTGAGAAGAACACACAAACCTCCAAAATACACTTAGCCCAGCTGTTCCGGAGACTGAACATTTCTCTCAGTCACTTGGGAAAGGGAATCCCTACATCACCCTTGCACCCAAGAACAAAAGACAAATCTCAGCATCTCAACCCAAAGTGCTAGTGCTGCTCTGCAGTCCCGTCTTCCCTTCATAAGACAGAAGGGTCCCAATAGTTTAGGGTGCTGAACCCCTCTTGTTCAAATACTAGAGCTTCTGCGGCCAGCAAAGGAGATCAGAGCAGCAAATAACAGGGCTGGGACCCAGCCAAGCCCGCAGCTGCTGCTGAAGCAAGGAGCCAAAGTGCTGGTCATGAGGACAGCCTAGAGCTGTAGCTACAAGAACCTGTTTGCCTCACTTTTGTCCCCAACTTACCCTCTGCATTGAGGAGCTTTCTGTCTTTGTAGAGATCTGTCAGGAACAGGCTATTCACGAGGGTGGATTTGCCCAGACCGGACTCTCCTAATTGACAGAGCACAAAGGGGAGGAGGGAAGAGAAGCAACATGACCCACTAATTGACTTACAAGAGAAACTCTGGGCAAGCCTTTGAATCCTGAGCCAGAGTGAGAGAGACAGCTGTCAGGAGCTGTTGGTGGTGTTACATTTTTCCAGCAGTGGGAGGACTTTTGCTGCAAGATATCTCAATCCTTGTACAAATGCGATCTCCCAGCTTCTCCACCTCCCCTCTCCCTTTCCTTTATCGCAGTCCCTGGCTGACCCTGTGTCCACCACCCAGACCAGCCATTCTGCTGGAGGAGTAGCTACACTCGATGCTTGAGAGGGCTATGGATGGGCAGGGAGGGCCCACTCCTCTGAGGTAAGTGTGTGACTGTGACACAAGCTGGGGACTAAAGTAAGGTCTGAGCAGAGAGAGAACAGAGCAGGGAAAGGAGCTGGATGTGAGGAGAGCTGGTCTCCTCTATGCACCCACTGTCCAGCCCAGCCATCTCCACCCATGGTTGTGGAGTCTTTAGGGTGTTTGGGGACATACAACAGTTAAGATGAGGGCAAACTGAGGGGCCAGGGTTAAACGCAGAGGGTGAAATCCCAGGTGCATGGAATCGCAGCCAGAAGACAGCAATGTCCCAGGCACTACAGTTTCTCTCTTAGAATTGGCAGCCTCATACCCAGGCAAGGGCTCAGATACCCCCAGGCTGGGATACCTCCAGGGCCAGGCATCAGCTTAGAGCTCGCTTAGCTACTACCTCCTCCTCCAGCCATCTCTCTGGCTTCAGTGGGCTCTTAAGAAATCAGGTGTTTTGCTACTGGAGCACTACTGGTGGCTGGGTTGGGTTTTGGAAAACCAACAGCATCCTCCCAACTCAGGCCCAACAGCTACTGTGGCAACCGCACTTACAGGAACAGCCCGGCAGTCTCACCTGCGACCATCAGGGTGAAGTCAAAACCCTTCTTCACAGATTTCCGGTGGACCTGGTTAGGAAGAGTGGCAAAGCCCACATACTGCTTCTCATGGTCCTGCAGGGCAAAGGTGGACAGCAGCAGGTTAGGGTGTGTCACCAGTCCTGCTCCAGCTTCCCACAGTGACAGGGAGTTGGGGGGAATCAAGGACCCAAACCCCTGAAGCAGAGCCAAAGGGCCAAGCAGTGGGGCAGGCCAGGGCATGTATATCCTCTAGGCTCAGGGTGCCCTTACTGCAGGTGCCTGGTGGGCACAGATGTGGGCACCTCCCCACAAACGCAGCCCTTGGCTATTTTTGCCAGCGGACAGGGCAATTCACTTTGGCGGCCTCCCAACCCAAAGAGTACAAGGGAATGCACATCTCCCAGTACCCAGCGGAGAGCAGACGTGGGCCAGCAGCTGACACACAACTTTCCTAACTCTTTGCTTCTCCTGCAAAGCCACAGACTCACTTCAGAGTGGAGTCACCAAATACCACCTATCCCCAGGTCTCAGAGCCATTTCTACATCTCCTTGTAGGGGAGGGGTGCGCGTTACATGACGGAGAGCTCTGCATAATTAGCTTCCCAGGGCTTGCGAGCTGTGTCGAGAGGAAGGAACGATGGCTTGGCTTCTGCTCGATCTGACGAGGGATCATTTCTTGCTGTGTCACAGCCACTCCTGGCTGAGTAAGAGGAAATCCTGAATAATCTGTACTATTATTTCAGAAGAGACAGAAGTCCAAGGAGCACTGGAAGTGGGGAGGCGCGAAAGTACCCAGGACATTGGTGAGGTGATTTTGGTGTGGGTTTTTTGATTAGGAGGATGGCTCATGGAGCAGAACTTCTCCTCTAATGCTCACCACCAGTCTGTCCATGTATCTGCTCCCAAACAGAGATCTCCCCATGCAGAAATACCACTTCCAGCACTGCGTGGGCTTTGCACACATTACCCTAGCTACATGCACAACACAGCTGATCCAAGCTGCCTACGTTACAAGCGGAGCAGTGCACAGGGAGCCAGAAAGTGGCTACAAATCCCAGAGCACTACCTACCACCTCACCACTCACCCAGAGAGAGCTCCCTTTAGAGAGTGCTCTCTTAGCCTGTCAACCCACAGTCACTCCACAACTGTGGCATGTGCTCTGCACCAGTGCACTAACTGCACACATGGATGGACAGGCACGCCAGTGGGTTTCACACGGCACGGCACACATCCTGCAGCCAGGAGCAGACACATTGCCTGCACTGAACACAGCCAGCTGCGGCCTGAGGCGCGCACCGCGCAGAGCACATGCTGAGAGGCAAGCACAGCTCAAGCCTAGGACTCAAGCACGGAGACAAACAGCTCAGAAGCAGCAGTCACCCAAGCCTGGGGATGTTAGTTGGAGCCTTCCCACCCCCACTCTCAGGGCTAATGTTGGCTTTAAGAGGTAACAGTTTTCCTGGGCTCTAGGGAAGAGCGAGTTTGCAGACCTGCTCCAGCTATTGCCTTCTGGCTCGGCTCCGTGCACAGTCCTGTGCTCACAGCTCGGGGGCCAGAGGAATGCCTGACCACGCAGCCCAGCTCCTCCATCTGGGCAGCCTCCATGAAAGCACCCTTAGAGTTTCACAGCCCGTCCTCCCCGTGATGGCACTCTCCCCTCCCCAGGCTGCCGAAGCGGCAGTGGCTGAGGACCCTGTCAAATGCCGCCCTTCTTGAATACTTTCCAAGTTAGACCCAAGAGGGAGCAGCCATTCACAAATGTCTGAGCTAGAGACATCATAGACTCCACATTTCAAAATCACTTACAATAAACATACTCCTGGGATTCACACCACAGACAAATCCATGAAGCCAAGAGTTCCTCAAAACCATCCCCAGCTCCCAGCCCAGCCATGAATGCTTTCAAGCAGATAGGCTGCCCCGTGGCTCTCTAGCACAGGCTCTCCACGCACAGCAGAGAAGACATCCGTCCCCCAACAGTAAGTTTAACCAGCTTCATTCCTGGGCCACTCAGTAATGGAAATGCAGCTGGCTAACTGGTGTGTCTGGCTTCACCAAAGCCCAGTCTCACCTACTTTCCGTATCACAAGTGGGCAAGTGCAACCCCACAGCAGGCTCTCCACAGCTCCTGGCCTGCATGCCCACATGTGTGGGCATCCTCAGCTGAGCACCCTGCAAAGCAGCAGCGGGACGGGTGCCAGGCAGGTCACGAGCCCTCGTCTCCCAACTGGTGGCCACTCGCAGAGCTGCCTGCGCACACAGAGCAGACATGACCGACAAGCATTGGGGGCCAGCGACTCTGTTCTTTAGCACCGTCACTGGCTTCTAGACGTTTAGGCTTGGTCTGGGTCTCTGAACTGGTCACTTTAGCCCCGAGAGACAGAGCGACCATGGGCTCTGGTGCCCCTCACCTCAGCCTCTTGCTAACATGGCTGAGCAATGCTGCTTTACCACGCTGTGGCTCAGAGAGGCAGGAGGGGGCAGAGCAAAGGAAATCAGAGAGAAGTGAAGAGGAGCAGAGTGCCCAAACCATTCCCTTTCACCAATGGCTCCGACAGCAGAGCTAAAAGGCTCTGGCGTCCCAAAGCAGAGGTGCAGCCAGCAGCAGCGACCCCATAATGAAAAGCGACAGCAGCTCCAGGTTAGCTGCCCCGATGGGTGCCAGAGGACGGCAGAACGGAGGCTTCGTAACCGCGAGGAGATTTTACACATTTCTCCCTGCACTCGGCTCCCCTGGATTGCGAAGCGGTACCTCCCCGGGGACAACCCTCAACTGCCTCCCAAAAGGCTCAACAAAGGGTAAATGTGAGGTGTGCAAAGGTGTGCAAAGCAGGGTGAGAAATGTGGTAACAAGAAGATCCAGACAAGAAGATAAAAAGGACCCCTTCCGTTCTGGGTCGACTCGGTACCAGGGCTGCTTTCTAGCTGCTCTGCTTGCTAGCGAAACACAACCCTGAATAAAACCAAAGCCTGCACGTAACCAACCCACGGCCCATAGCAGTGCTGTCCGGTGACCACCACAAACGTGCAACATCCTTCCTCATTTGCTTCTGATACTGCAAAGCTTTGGATCCGGACCAGGAAAGAGATCTGCACTCATCTTTACCAAGTTTTGGAAAAACAATGGTTGCCTGATCTCTCCAGTGACTTTGCATGTGAAACAGCATTAATAATGCACTAATAAACCACAGCTGAGGCCTGTTCGGGGTGTTTTTCTGTTTTTTTCTCATTTGTTTGTTTTTTAAACTAGATGACTAAAAGATGACTAAAAGCTGACAATGGAGATACCAGGGAGCTGATCTCTGGTGTAACTCGGCTTACGTGAGTCAAGTATAACTGGCCAAACCTGATCCCTTGTTTCTATTCAGGCCAGTCAAGAAAGTTCAGATTTACTGCAACTCTGGTTGCTTCCCCATAGCTCGGTGAGATCAGGACATGTCACTTCATATGTGTAAATCCTGGCCGGTGCAGGTTGCTGCCCTTGATCCGTAGCTGGCAGTTGCTTCCCCTGCGCTAAGGCAGGGAGGGCTGAGCGCAGGGCCAAGGGCAGAGCTCCCGCTCCGCAGCGCGAGGCAGCCAGGGCCGCAAGGGCAAGAGCCCCATCGCCAGCCCTGCCTCTGCGGCCCGGCCTCGGCGCTCGCTGCACCCCCCGGGAGCCAGCGTCCGTGCGGCTGGGGAGGGGGAAGGCCAGAGAAGCGGGGGAAATAGTGCAGAGGGATCCGATCCCCTCCTTTCGACAGCCCTTCTCTTGAGATCAGCAGCATGGTCCTTTCACTGCTCGGATGCGCACACAGGTTTTATGTTCCCGTAGCTGGGCTGCTCGACTCAGTGCTCAAAGGGAGACAGCTCGGCCTGGCAAGGACAGGCCTGAGTTGGCTATTACCAAGTGTGGGATAGGGCCCGGACCCTGCTTTCACCAGGAACAGCCCAAATCCACCACTCCTCATCTCAGCATTGAGGCACCCAGCCTGCGCTCCCATCCTGGCTGCGTCGGGGCAGTGCGACAGGCCCGCTCGCCCTGGCTGCGGCCACCGTCTCCGCTAGCGTGGGGATGTCAGTGGAGCCTCTAAGGAGCCCAAGGAACCTCCCGAGCCTGGTGTCTGCCTCGCTCGAAGCTCTGTGTCGTTCACCACCTTCCTCAGGACGCGCGTGGAGGGGTGGGAGGCTTGGCGGAGGAGGGCAGGTGCCTCTCTGACTCGTGAAAAGAAAGCTAACCTCCTAAATATGCAGGTGACAGACTTGGACCAGACTTGGGCTGCTGGAGGCATCGCAGCCCCCCCCGCTCCTGACCCTCGCGAGCCAGCTCCTGTC